TGCACTACAAATGATTTTACATTCCTAAAAAATTAAGCACTCTCAAGAACTGACGTATACTTGTCTTCCCTGTTAACATCCACCTTTACGTGACAGCTTCCTCACCAATATATGCCACTCAGAGAGGCCCTTTGGCCATCAGAGAGCTCATACCACCCTTCAACTTCTTTGTCCTCCTGCAGCAATTCAGGAACCTTTGGTTCCCATAACCCTAAAGACGTTTTCCCTTCATCCAGCTTCCTGTGCCTCAAATTCCACCACCAGTATTTCAGGCAGGTCCCCGTATTTCATGCTGTGACCCCAATTACAGAGATTTGGACAAGTGCCTTCTAGAAACAGATGGAGCTGAAAACAATCTAATTTCTGAACACATCTTCCTTGCTTCCTGGTAGAGCTGCTCCACTTAGTACAAATAATTATTTTCTGGAGCAGTGTGAGAACCATCCCAGGCAAATGCTCACTCTCCTGTGCCGCTCCTGCCCCAACCAGTTCAATTAATACTATATAAGGCTAAATGGAGTAGCTTCTGCAAAAGAGACAACACAAAAAGCCTATGCTTTGTTGGTTTGGGCGCTCCAAAGGGTGGTGGACCTGTTCAATCCCATGTTTTGAGTCACAGACAGGACCGGAACTCCAAACTTCTGTGTCCTGAGTGGATAAAGCTTGAGTAGGGGGACGTTGTACTACCTGCCCTTCCTCTTCTCTGTAAGAGCAAACCTGTCTTTGGCACGTCATTCCAAGAAACATTTAGCAACAACTCACCTAGGCCAGACCACCAAATCTTCCAGGGACAGCATTCAACACAAACACCAGCCTCTTACACCCTTTACTGGCCAACTCGGGCAATCCTCCATTCCACATGCTGGTTTTCACAAGTCTTCTTTGAAGCCACTTTTCCTTCATGTCTTCTGTAAGGAACCTAGATACCTACCTCATGCTTTGTTGGTTGGGTTTGTTTTTTTTTCCAAATTCCAGTAGGCAGCAGAACACATGAAAATGAGATGATGCAATGCTAAACCAAAGTCCCCTTATGAATATAGCCCTAGGTGCCCAACAGGATGTGACAGGTGGACAGGCAGGCAAGCCGAGCAGGAGGATGAGGTCACAAAATGAGCAGTTGCACAGCATACCACTAATCTTAAATTCCAAACTCATTATGCACAAGCCTAACAAACAAAGGAGCAGCTTAACAGATTTACAATGTGCCTTCTCCAAGGGTGGAATAATTATTTATCAGATGGCAACCCTCGTGTTACAACAGCAATAAATAAATAAATGATCCCAGCAACTCTTCTGAGCTGTGCCACTAGACAGACCAACATCTGGGATGTGCCTTTAGCTTGGCTGAGCTGGGGGAGAACTGTAAATATTTGGTACAAATAAAATAAAGTTTGCTAGACTGAGCAGAAACCCAAACACAGTAGTTAATGGCATCCCAGGGGACCTGCTGCAAGAGACCCACGCCTCCCTGAACTCCTTCCAGTTTCTAGTGAACAACTCAAAAGAGGTTTTCTTCCCTTTGCTTTTCTGTAAGACCATCCCCTCCTGTATGTCTACACATCTCAATATCACTCCGATTTCATTCTCTCAGGTTGCAACTGTTATTTATTCAGGCTGAAGGCCACAAACATTATAAAAAGGGTTTGGTTTGTTCTCTCTACCTCTGTATTCCTAGTTTGGCTTTACAGCTGCATATTAACATGCAGGGACACATCCAGAAAAAGCATTTCCAAAGTCAGTCATATTTTATGCAAACTCTCTCCTTCTTTATTTAGATAAAACCCAAAGAATTCTGAGAGGAAATAGTAAATGTGCACAAAACATGCTCAGCCAGGCTCTCCCACTCAGAGAACTCAATGATCCTTTTTCATCTCTATGGTACTATTCCAACTTCCTCACTTGAAGCTCCGGGACCACAACCCCCCCGCCTTGCCCACATTCCCCATCTCTTGCCATCTGACAGCTTCCAAAGTCTGCTCCCATCTTCTCACCCTGAAACAGTTCCCAGCTGATTTTGCTCCATCCCAAGTTTTCTAGCTGGCTGCTTCTCCTCCAGAAGGAACCAAGAGTAATTTCTATTTTCTGTACGTGTTTACATGTTGCAGCAGGATGGCTGGGAATAAGATTAGTAACAATCATTCATCACTCCTGTCTCCATTCTCTGAAGCATCCTTCATTCGGCACATTCCAGTTGTTCCCACTTCTTCTCGCTACTTTTCTCCGGTCTCCAGATCCCAGCACTCCTGCCCTACTAGGTTTCTACCGTTTATACAGCAGTTTGTGCTGTCACATGCTGTGAAGACAAGAAACGGTGTCTCAGCATCCTGGGTTTACAGGCAAGCTTTGACAATACAGTATCTGTTACTGGTGTGATGCTTTAAACATATTAAACCTGGCAAGCTTCCAGCACCCAAATATCTTAGAGCTGATCAACATCTTTCCAGGTACCCAACACAATGATTTTTCAGCAGGTAAAGTCCTTTTCTCATGCAATTCACCATAAATAAATTCTTTAATGCAACAGTAGGCCAAACCCGGCACGTAACCCTCGCACACAGGCAAATGACACTTGCCTTTGCAGGTTTAAAGAGATACAAACCTCCTTCCTACTCCCTGCAGCTTCACAGATCTCTTGACAAGCAGTCTCACAAGATGGTCTGAGAAGATCAGCCGCCCCCAGCCTGCTCCACGGAGTAGCTTCTGCAAGAGAGACACCACAAAAAGCCTACGCTTTGTTGGTTTGGGTGCTCCAAAGGGTGGTGGACCTGTTCAATCCCATGTTTTGAGTCACAGACAGGACCGGAACTCCAAACTTCTGTGTCCTGAGTGGATAAAGCTTGAGTAGGGGGACGTTGTACTACCTGCCCTTCCTCTTCTCTGTAAGAGCAAACCTGTCTTTGGCACGTCATTCCAAGAAACATTTAGCAACAACTCACCTAGGCCAGACCACCAAATCTTCCAGGGACAGCATTCAACACAAACACCAGCCTCTTACACCCTTTACTGGCCAACTCGGGCAATCCTCCATTCCACATGCTGGTTTTCACAAGTCTTCTTTGAAGCCACTTTTCCTTCATGTCTTCTGTAAGGAACCTAGACACCTACCTCATGGTTTGTTGGTTGGTTGTTTTTTTTTTTTTTTTTTTTACCTACCTCATGCTTTGTTGGTTGGGTTTGTTTTTTTTTCCAAATTCCAGTAGGCAGCAGAACACATGAAAATGAGATGATGCAATGCTAAACCAAAGTCCCCTTATGAATATAGCCCTAGGTGCCCAACAGGATGTGACAGGTGGACAGGCAGGCAAGCCGAGCAGGAGGATGAGGTCACAAAATGAGCAGTTGCACAGCATACCACTAATCTTAAATTCCAAACTCATTATGCACAAGCCTAACAAACAAAGGAGCAGCTTAACAGATTTACAATGTGCCTTCTCCAAGGGTGGAATAATTATTTATCAGATGGCAACCCTCGTGTTACAACAGCAATAAATAAATAAATGATCCCAGCAACTCTTCTGAGCTGTGCCACTAGACAGACCAACATCTGGGATGTGCCTTTAGCTTGGCTGAGCTGGGGGAGAACTGTAAATATTTGGTACAAATAAAATAAAGTTTGCTAGACTGAGCAGAAACCCAAACACAGTAGTTAATGGCATCCCAGGGGACCTGCTGCAAGAGACCCACGCCTCCCTGAACTCCTTCCAGTTTCTAGTGAACAACTCAAAAGAGGTTTTCTTCCCTTTGCTTTTCTGTAAGACCATCCCCTCCTGTATGTCTACACATCTCAATATCACTCCGATTTCATTCTCTCAGGTTGCAACTGTTATTTATTCAGGCTGAAGGCCACAAACATTATAAAAAGGGTTTGGTTTGTTCTCTCTACCTCTGTATTCCTAGTTTGGCTTTACAGCTGCATATTAACATGCAGGGACACATCCAGAAAAAGCATTTCCAAAGTCAGTCATATTTTATGCAAACTCTCTCCTTCTTTATTTAGATAAAACCCAAAGAATTCTGAGAGGAAATAGTAAATGTGCACAAAACATGCTCAGCCAGGCTCTCCCACTCAGAGAACTCAATGATCCTTTTTCATCTCTATGGTACTATTCCAACTTCCTCACTTGAAGCTCCGGGACCACAACCCCCCCGCCTTGCCCACATTCCCCATCTCTTGCCATCTGACAGCTTCCAAAGTCTGCTCCCATCTTCTCACCCTGAAACAGTTCCCAGCTGATTTTGCTCCATCCCAAGTTTTCTAGCTGGCTGCTTCTCCTCCAGAAGGAACCAAGAGTAATTTCTATTTTCTGTACGTGTTTACATGTTGCAGCAGGATGGCTGGGAATAAGATTAGTAACAATCATTCATCACTCCTGTCTCCATTCTCTGAAGCATCCTTCATTCGGCACATTCCAGTTGTTCCCACTTCTTCTCGCTACTTTTCTCCGGTCTCCAGATCCCAGCACTCCTGCCCTACTAGGTTTCTACCGTTTATACAGCAGTTTGTGCTGTCACATGCTGTGAAGACAAGAAACGGTGTCTCAGCATCCTGGGTTTACAGGCAAGCTTTGACAATACAGTATCTGTTACTGGTGTGATGCTTTAAACATATTAAACCTGGCAAGCTTCCAGCACCCAAATATCTTAGAGCTGATCAACATCTTTCCAGGTACCCAACACAATGATTTTTCAGCAGGTAAAGTCCTTTTCTCATGCAATTCACCATAAATAAATTCTTTAATGCAACAGTAGGCCAAACCCGGCACGTAACCCTCGCACACAGGCAAATGACACTTGCCTTTGCAGGTTTAAAGAGATACAAACCTCCTTCCTACTCCCTGCAGCTTCACAGATCTCTTGACAAGCAGTCTCACAAGATGGTCTGAGAAGATCAGCCGCCCCCAGCCTGCTCCAACCCAGCCACTCCAGCCTAACCAGCAGGTTCAGCTGGGTTCATGCCCATTTTGTGTCACAAGAACAGCACAAACGGAGGCACAACGTACCTGTGAAACTAGACCACCGTTTTTTTGGGGAGCGTTTAAGAAGGATGAATCCAGTTCTTCCAAGAAATGGGAACTGCCACATCGTCTCAAATGCGGCTGCTTCCCTCAGCTGAAACGTCCCTATGAAATACTGACGGCAGGATTGATCTCCAGCCACCTGCCGTACTCTAGAATAAGAGAAAAAGGGTCTCAAAAAAAGGTATTTGTTTGTTCTTGATGCTCATTTCTCCAAGCAATACAGAATTCATAAGCTCCACATCTGCAAATGTATGCCTGCCTACATCGTAAAGGAATAATCTTCATGGGAACTGATTTAAAAAAAAACTTGTTTACTGTTAGAGGCTGTTAATTACAACATTAAAATACTAGCCTGAACCCTACATTAAACTTGCATTCTGTTTTACATAGCAGTATACGTAACAATCATCACAGCAAGCAGCTCTGTTGGCTCATGCTGGAAGAAGTAATTATATATCACAGCAACACATTTTTGCCCTTCAACCTGCCAGTCCAGTCCACACAGCAGCTGTGAGCAGCAGGTCAGGGCGGGGGGAGCCTACAGAGGGTTTCTACATAATCACTTACCACCAAAGGAGAAAAAAAAAAAAAAAAAGCTATAAACCACCAGACCCTGGCTTGCATGCCTGGCAGAAAGCTGCTAACACAAACATTACAGCAGCCCTTGCAGCAGAGATGTTACCAGAAAAAATGAGCTTGATCCAAAGGCACTATTAGTGGTTCAAGGACTAGCTAGCAGTTGTACTGCAAGTCTTCCTTACTCATTTTCACAATTTTTGTACTCGTACCCATGATACTCACTCCATCCTCTTGCACTTGGACGTTCCTACATCCTCTTTGAAACGTGCATTTTCAGGTGAAGCCCAAAGACACCGATGACCAGGGCTTATGCAGGCCTCAAGCTGAAATACAGGCCAAAGATACTGGGAGAGAGCCCTTTCCAAAGACCACCCCAAAATTGTTCGTGCATACCCACAGCAAGCAGACCCTTGGCATGTCTAACACAGGAAAACACACAATTTCTGCCTTGGAGATGGGCTGGAGGACAGGCTGATCAGTTTCAGACTGTATTACAGTCTTTGGTTCCAGTGAACCTAAATATTTCAACCTTGACACTCAAAGCATCATCAGCTTTTTTACAGCTGTTGCAAACAAAGCAGTAGCATTGGTATATTATGAATATGCAACAATATTCCTTTCCCTGTGCTGTTTTTCCCCAGTATGAGATGAAATGTAAAAGTACATGTAAGCCAATAATTGTCCTGTTGCTGTTTAGCTGCTGGGATTATTAAAAGAAAAAATAAAAATAATCACAGTCCTAGTATAATATGATAGTGATGCAATAGTTAACTGTCTGGCAAAATCTGCCATACCATGCTGCTTAATCATGTCGCCTTTGTTCCAGCAAAAATGGTATTAAAAGACAGTGAATTTTACCAAATAAAAATGTTATAAACTAACATGTTCCAAAAACTTTTTGAATCCAAAATAGAACGAGACAGACAATAATGGCCAAGAGCCTGACCAGCTTAATGGATGTTGGACTCTCATTTTGTTCTCAACACTGAAACAGCAGATCATTCTCGGAAGACAATTAACAGCCAACATGCAATTTCAATTTTTAGCAGAAAAGTAAACAGAAAATTACTCCTTCTGTTTCATTTTCAAAGTCTTTAAAGCGTGTTACTTTGGAGAGCAAACCTAGAAACAGGAGGACAGCATAGTAAGTGTCGGAACAGGTTTCTCCTGTATGCTCATTTTTAAGCAGCTATACGGATTTCTTCCCATTAAACTTTTAATCACAGAAGGTGGTGAGAAGCTGCATTTGGTTATAAAATAACACATCTGCAAGTCTCTTCTGCTCATTTCCCAATCTTCTTCTAGCTCCTGACCAAACCATACAGCAGGAATTAGTCACCCTGCCTACCACTGCACTGGAACAGGCCTCCAATACATCACTCTAAGTGCCAAATAAAAACACACACAGGGCAGAATAAACTCCACAATGACTTATTAATGACAACTGGTATGTTCCAAGCAGCCCCAATAATTCTGGTTCAGAGGCTTGTGAAATTACCTCCACTACAAGCAAGGAAACAAGCAGCACCAAGGGCACCATCAGCAGGGCTGCATAGGTTTATTTTCAGCCATTAAAAAAGGCAGAAGGATATACTGATTCAAATTATCACCTGGATTCTGTAAATCGATAGCAGCCAGCTAGGGGAGCTTCCTGCTCACCAGAAAGGGATGGATTTATTTCATGCAGAGCACACATGTACTTACAAATAACTAATACAACCAGCAGTCCGATAAATAAAAAGAAAATAAGTGCACAGTCAGTGCAGTCAGCTCAGCCCCAAAATATCCGTGCACTCTCTGACCAGCTCGGCAGCTGAGCAAAACCCTCCCGAGGAAAGCAGGCCAGGGAAGCAAAAAGGTGACGTTCAATAGCTCGTATCAAAGCAAATGCTGAACTGAATTTCATGGGCTATTTCTGTTTCCTCGCTAAATAGCAAAGGCCTACTGCAAATAACAGAGCAAGAGTTTTGCAGAAGAGGAAAAGGTCAACCAGGATCTCTCACCAGGGAAAATGCTCTGCTGCAGACAGGGAGCAGCACCCGCTCCCGGTAGAAAGAAATACAAAGAGATACCGCTTATTGTCTCCACATGTTTATACAATAGACACTCCAATTGCAGCCTTTCCTTTTAAGACTGTTTTCAACAATAAAAGAGCACAAAAAGATGTGGCGAGGGTTTCCTTCCCAGTGAAAACGAGTTTGAGGTGCAGAATAAACATGGGATTTTTGACTCACTCACAAAAATGTTACCGGAGAGATTTCAAAGAGACGTACTTTTGGCTTCTCTCTACTCCCACTGACGTTGGTTAAAACTTTTACCGTTGACTTCAGTCAGCACTAGCCTACGTATCACTTTAAACTTGGCTATTATTACCTTTTAGTTTAAAATATATAACGTTCCTCTGTAACAGACGGAAAAATATTTCAGGAACTTTTTAAATCTGTTCCTCCAAGATACATTTTTATTTTTTTTAAACACACTGAGACGCGGTTCCTGGATGCAAGCACATGTGACCTGTTCTAAATAAAGGATATTTTCCACTTCTTGCACAACTGGAACAGATATAAGCAGTAGCTTGAACAAACTGCATTGCAGAACCCAAGCAGAATATAAAACACTTGAATAAGATCCATAAATAGCAGTAATATGAAAAGACTACCTCCAATAAGGCACAAACTCAATGTTGAGAAGCCTAATGTAATCAAGTTCGAATTTAATCATGCCGCAAAGTTCATTTACAAAATTAAATTTGATCATCTGCAGACTACGGCACTTCGGAAAAGTCCTCTTTGGCTCCAAAGTAAGTACAGTTTAAAAATGCATACCTTTTTAGTGAAATTAATATTTCCTCAAGAAGCACTGTATATTAAAAGGAAAGTTTTTAGTAAGTTGAGACTTCAATATTCAGCACAGCATCAGAAGAAAGGAAAAAAAAAAAAATTAGAGGGAGTGTTTTACAGAGGATCCTGACTGGAGAGAGATGAGGTAGTAGTTGATACAAGTAAAACACTGAAGGTTTACATTTAATAAATAAATAGATAAATAAAGCAAGCACTTGGACACCACAAATGATGAGAATTTTATAAAACCATCACTACTTTATTAATGACAAACTACATCTCAATGTTGTTGCTCAAAGTAAGAATAAGCTTCCTAAAAAAACCATCATGCAACTTGAAAGCATTTCCTAATAATTTTTTCCACTAAAAATACTTTAGTAATTAGATCATTCAGGTGCTTTTTGACCAGTCTGAAAATAAATACGCTGGAAAAGGGCAACAGAAAATAGCACAAATAGCAGTAATTTACCTGCAGGTACATGGCTTTATTAAGGACAAGGCAGTAAATCACAACAACTGTCAATAATTTCCTGGCACTTGCTAAGTCGTGTGTAGCATCCAAACAGACACACGTTACACAGAACCAAAAAAAAAAAATAGAAAAGCAATTGAATATAGATTTATCTTTTTTTTTTTCTTGCTGCATTTGGCACATCTGGGTTAGTTCAGATCGCCCTACACAAAGGCAGACTGTAAAGTCTTTACTCCCAGATACCAGTTTGATATCCAAAACTTCGCTTCAATAAGTCAAATGATTTACAGAATGCTTATTAGCAGTATGACAGATGTAACTTCAGCCTACAGTGCCCTGATGTCTGCGTGCAGACACATTAGGATCTGTGTTTACTTTTAGTAATAACTGATTATTTTCTTCAGCTGATTGCCCAAAAATAAAGCTCAGTCGATTTCACTGTGCATTGCTTGTACCAGAAAAGAAGTATCTCATTTACTTGTTCATTATACAAATGCATACATATTTAAGTGCATGTACTTATAAATTAAAATTACTATCCTTCGGGAATATGGCAGGAGAGGAATAAAGTATGAATGTGAGGAGGGGAAAAAAAAAAAAAAATAATCCCATTGTCTTACTGGCTAGTCATACAGCCCAGTTTCCTCCCACAGTGAAAAGTGACTCTAGAGAAACCAAAGCGACTGAAACATCTTCTCAGTTTTCAAAGACATTCAACCACTGCAAATTCCAGAGAACCCTTACATGTATCTACACTTAGCACAAGAAGCTAACCCCTCATGAGGCTGAGGGGTTTAGGAAATACAGTTGGGAATGATGTATCTCAGCCCCGTGTATTCTCACCATCCCTTGTGATTGAAGGTTTTTGCTGGGCTTACATTTTTCCTTGGCCTCTAGCATTCAACTGTGGCTTGGCCTAAGTTAGTACAGTATTTACTGCAAAAAGCTTTTATTATCGGACCCCTCGCGGTTTTGGATTGCGGGCTTGAATTATGAAATATGGATGGAGTAACTGTGAGCACACATTGAAGAGGAGAAATCTTTTAACTGGATGTCATGTACTGGAAAACAAGCAACCTGGGAGGAAGAGAGTAGGAGAGTTTTACCAAGTGAAGGACAGCAATATCAGCAGGGCTGAGTTAAACTGGGCAACAAAAAGGTTTCTCCTTGGTTCAGAGCAGTGGCATTCTCACATAATTCTGAGCTGGATGGCTTTTTCTAGGTACTCAAAAATTCAGCTGCTGTGCTTCAGCCAGACAATGCTTCTCACCTCTTTATGGTTAGAAGAGATCAGAGAAAGCCCTGAATGTTGCTAGGAAATCAGCAGTTCTCACCAGGGAAAAGAGCAGATTGCTATTGAGACTCCTCTCCTAACATCAGCTATTGCCTCTGGTTTGCCTGTTCCCTGGAGCAACGCTGGGGAGAACACAGTGAGGAAGCAATTCCCATGGCCACAGCCCCATCCCTACACCACGCTGACCCACTGCTACCCCACTGACTGCTGTGCAATTACTCCTGATTTACATCCACAAGAGAAAGCCGCGTGGTGATGTTGGATACCCTTGATAATCATCAGTCAGACTGGTTTCAGGCCTGAGCAAAGCTGAAGGACTACAGAAGTCCTCTTAGATTATGATCTGCACATCTTGAAGCAAACAGGTTTGTGAGCAACTTTTGCCTCCTCTTATCATCAAGTTTTATCAGCCTGGCTCCAGGGACAGGTTTATACGGACCTGGCAAGGGCCTCTGGCTCCTTCGCTTCTTCATCTCCCACAAGACCAGGAAGACAGCTGAGACTCTACCTGGAGGCAAGAGCTGTACGTGAGCTGGGCAGACTCCACGCTGAGGTTAGCATGACAGTTCATTATCTGCCAAAAAACCCATGGGTTGTTATTCCACCCTCAGGGCTCTCTCTTCTTGAACGCATGGGCAAGTGCAGAGGGACAGGGAGGCAGACTGGGGTGAGCTGGTCACTTTCCCTACCCAACAAGCCCTCCTGGAAATGTCAGATGTTGGCCTGAGGGACCACCAGGACGTCTGGATGACTCCCATGGGGTTGCCTTTATACCCAAAGGGTGGGCAGTGCTGGCTCTGCAGGAGTGCCAGGTAAGAATGTACTGGAGCAATTCAGTCTAGGGAAGTTTGAAGTGACAACGTTTAGAAGTTGTCCAGATACTCCAGTGCCTCGTTACAGAGTATCTTTATTCACTTCCCCCTGAGAAAAGCAAACAACGCAGGGATGCACTCAGGTCCCAAAGCATCAAGTCACAGGAATTAAAAGCAGCTGGAACATCTGTGCAAGGTCAAATGCAGACCTACTACCCAAGCTCCTATCCAGACCTGCTCTCTATGCTCCACACTCACACCATCTGAAGGCATAAACAAGCTGCTGACTTGTGGACAACCATAGCAGGGCAACTGCTGCGACTGGTGCAAACAGACCTATTTGACAACAGCGTAGTTGTCACGACCTACCCTGTGACTCCTTCACTCCACCGGTGACGTGAGCACTGAAGCTGAAGCCCTGTGGGTCTCCCTGCTGCCTCCATCACAGCTGGAACCCACCACTGCTGGTGAACCCACTACCTCTGCACTGTCCTCTCTCTGCACATTAGCCTGGCTCACAGCTAACTACCTGGAGAATGGCAACTTCCCTGCACAGCTGTGGAGGGCAGAGGAGTTCTGCCAGCTTTGGGGAGGTTGTCTGGCCCCTCAGGCTGCGAAAGGCTGCACATCACCACCACTACAGGTACCATTTCTCAGCAACACCAAAGGTTCAGTGCAAGACAGGGCTGCGTGAAGACAGGCTGCAGGAGGTGGCCTCAGGTTTGCCAGCCCTTGCAGCAGCAACAGAATTCTTAACATCTTTTACTACAAGACCTTCAATGTTTCTTAAACATTCAGAGCGTGATCAAAAATTCATCTGTTTACTTTGAAGTCTGTCTGACAGGCAGTACAGCCTAAGCATGTTCTAACGCTTTTCTCTTTTTTTTTAAATATTTACCTTCCCATTCACTTTTCAAACGCACGCACAGACGTACAAAGCGCATTGTTCAAAACTAAAACCCATGAACAAGCTCACAGCAGACCCGATTGCAAATAAGATACACTCGCAGCAATGACCTTATACTCAACTGCGAATGGCTGAGGAGAGGGTTGTGATGAAATGGAGGGGGTTTTTACGGCCAGAGAACTTTGAATGAAAGCGCAGAGGAGGGAGCAGCATGCCACTGCCGACAAGGAAGATGCTCGAGGAGTGGGAGAGCTTCCTTTCTCCAGGGTTAGGAGGGAAAGCGGGGACCCAACACCCCCCAAGGGACAGAAACACACACCGCCTTATTTCCCTCCACAGACCGTATCTACGTGACGCAGCCGCTCCAGATAAGAATAAAGAGCATATATATACCTCGGGGGGAAAAACATATTACTTTAAGAAGAAAGTGACGTACCTAGGCAAAAGTTTCCAGTCCCCAAGCAATTGCAAGTGACAAACCTGCTCTCAAAGTCAGAAAAAAAAACCAAGACAGCCTCACACGCCACAAGACCTTGCAAACACCACTGAGCGGACCCCCCCTCCCCCGGGTGCCTCCGCACCTGGCGGCGGGGGGACGGGACGGGGGACGGCCACGGGCGGCGGGGGGACGGCCAGCGGGGGCAGGTCCCGCCGGTGCCTTGTCGTCGTCCTCCCCCCTTCCAGAGGAAGCCCACGGTCGGCGGGGGCCGCCCCGGCGTGACAGCGAGAGGCCCCCGCAGGGCCAACAATGCCCTTTACATAAGGCCGGCCGGCCCGCCCTCCCGCCCGACAACGCCGCTATTATGGCAGGCAGCGCTAAATGGCCGCCCCGCTGCGCAGGATGCCTCCCCTCAGCGCGGCCGGCCCGGGGGTGGCGTGTGTGTGTGTTGGGGGGGGGAGACAGGACACGGGGGACATTTTCGCCTTGCCACGGGGCCTGCCTCAGCGCGGGGGCACCGCGTCCTCCCCTCCGCCCGTCCCACCTGCTCTTGAGGGGCTGGCTCTTCAGCTCGTAGTAGGTCTTGGGCTCCTCGTGGAACTCCTCGCCCACCTCGAAGTCCGGCACGATCCCCGACTCCGCCTGCATCGTCGCCGCCGCCGCCGCTGGGAGAGGGAAAGACGGGAGGTGACCGCCGCGCCGAGCCCGGCCGAGCCCAGCCCCAGCCCAACCCCGCCGCGCCGCCCGCTCTCTCTACACACGTAGCGCCGCCGCCTGCCCGCCCGCCCCGCCTGGGACTTGTAGTCCGCCCCGGGGCCGGCCCGCCCGCCTCCTCCCGCCGCGCACTACAACTCCCGCCGGGCCGCGCCGCGCCGGGCCCGCTGCTGTCAGCCCGGGGGCGGGGTGCACCGCGCCGGGCCCAGCCGAGCCCTGCCCGCCACCTGCCGCCCCCTCCCTGCCCTCGGCCTGAGGGAGGAGGGCGTGACGTCACACCGCTCTGACGGCACGCCGTGACGCGCGTGACGTCACGCCCGCCCTCTGAGGGGAACGGCGGGTTGAAGCGGGGAAAGGTGGGGGGTGATGGGAAAGGTGTCCTGGTTTGAGCCACACGGGACCGATTTCTCTACTGTTTGGGAAAAAAAACACTTCTTTAGAAGACTCCAGTGTCTGAATTCCTAAAAATACTAACTTTATAGCCCGCTGTGGTGGGCGGGTCTTGAGGTCTTGGTGTTTTCAAGCTGGCCAGGCGCAGGAGGAGCGAGGCCCGGGCACTCCACCCAAGCTGCCAGCAGGGTTATTTCATCCCACGAACATCACATTCAATATAAATTAGAAAGTTTGCTGCAAAGGAGGGTGTAGAGAGATGGGGGTCGGTCTCTTCTCCCAAGTCACAGGCGACAGGACAAGAGGAAATGGCCTCAAGTTGCACCAGGGGAGGTTCAGGCTGGATATTAGGAAAATTTTTTTCACTGAAAGGGTT